AAGAAGAAGAAGAAGGAAATGGTGAATTTTTTAATTTTAAATTAAAAAATTATATATCAATTATGATAAAAAAAATGCATGATTAATAAATTAAATTTATGTTAATATATTAATTTATATTTTATATTTTTAAAATTATTAATTTTAAATATAATTATTTAAATAAAAATTTTGTTCATTCTATTCCTCCTCCTCTAAAAATTTCCTTTGTTTTTCAAACAACTCCTTAAATGTGTAAATAAGTTGAACTACTCATAAACAAAGCTTGACTTGCTTAAGTAAGTTTATTTATTTAATTAAGTAAATATGTTTAAAGTTAAACTCAATTATTTAAATAAATCAAACATATATAAGCTTGATATTAATAACTCATGAACAATTTATCTATCTATATATAAACAAATGACTATAATTTTAAAAAAATTATTTACTTTAAATTTTTATTTTAAAATTTTAAAATTACATTTTAAACAAATAACTATAAATTAAAAAATTATTTTATTAACCTTAAATTCATGTAGATGAAATTATATTTTACTATTTATTAAATATTGTAAAAATTATTCGAAAGTATAAAATAAAATAAACAAGTTAATATTCAGAAAAAAATAAACAAATTAATAAGCTAAACTCAAAATTTGAAATTTTTAATAAGTTAAATTCAAACTTTAAATCTTACTTATTTAAATAAATAAATCAAATTTAAATATAATTTTTTTTTTACACGTCAAAAACTTAAAACTTTAAATAGGCGACTGAACTTAACTCATTTACAGATCCTTTTTCCCCTGCTATTCTTATGCTTTTGTCAACGGCATTTATTTAAGCTGTTGATTTTATGTTTGAAACAACACTTCCTATTTAATAAAGAATATATTAATATAAAAATTAAATCAATTTAACTTTTTTTAATTTTTTATTCTAACATAAATTGTAAGAGAATATATAATTATATTTAATTTTATTTAATTTTTATATTCTATCATATCAAGTCAATCAAACCAATCCTAAAGATAAAATTAATTTGCATTATTATAATATATAATTTAGTAAAATTAATTTATTTTATCATAATAATTAGTAAAAATATTTTTTTAATTTCATTTAAAATTAGACAAATGTATAAAATAATCAAAAAACACACATTTCTGTTTTTTATTTTTCAATTTAAAAAGAAAATGATATAGAAACGTTTAGATAAAATCAACAACTAAGTTGATTTATATTACGTGCTCAATAGTAAAAATTAATGTGATACTTTTTTATATATGAGCAATAAAAAATAAAAAAACAAATCTGAAAAGCATTATCGAAAGGATAAACCGCAATAACGATAACTAGGAACGGTGCACACGCATGTGAAAAGGCCTGAGTTTTGTTATATATCATTGAGATTAGAAAGCTTGAATTGTAGAATTTTAATTAGGTAGCCATCGACTCGGACTCCTCATGCGAGCCTAACTTCTTTAACAATACTGACTATATATACTTATAGGTATGCTCTACGAGGCAATCAACGCCACGTGATAGGCTCGTGCCTGTGTTGTCCTTTCTACTTGCTCTTTCAAGTATCAATTACTTGGTTCTCAGACCTTTTTTTTGTTCCTTATTTATTTGTAACTTTGATTCATCGCTGTAAGTATTATTTTTTTCCATCAATTATAAAAAAATCATCTGTTAGAATCACTGTAAGGATTATTCACGAAAATTATTAAATAGTAAGAATATATGATCTGAGCTACTTATAATGCACAATGTGTTATTTTTTTTATAATTAAAACAAAAAAAACACATACATTACACCACAAATAAGTATTAAATACTCTCTTTAAATTAAGAGTAGTAATTTTTTTAATATTTTTAAAATAAATCATTAATTTTATTATTTATTCATATGAAATTAATAATGATAATTAATCCATGTAAAAAGACATGAAAAATTACCTAAAAGTATTCACTTCGCTGCGTCACTAAATCAAGAATACAATAACATTAAGTGCTATAAAATCATTTCCACAACGCCTTGTTTACTAAAAATAGTGTAATCTAGCACTTTTAATAAGTACATTTTAGTAAAATTAACTAATTTTTCATATAGTTGGTAAAATTAATTATTTAAAATGGATACAATATAATACTTAACACATGCTAAAATATTACTCCTGTTTGTAAGGCACTAAGTAGATTCTATAAGTAATCCTTAATACAAGACGTTCTATGATTCTAATAAAATATTATTTTATTTACTTTTAATAAATAGAATTAGTAAAAACTTAAAAACCAACAAAGATATGTTGACCCTTTTTTTCCATAAAATCAATTAATTTTATCTATAATTAAATTTGAACAGTCTACCAAACGGTGATCTAGATCAATCCACGTAACATGCTAGAATAGTATTCTCTCTAGTCTTTCTTATAAGGAGCCATATTCTTTTACTGATTCTTTTTATAAGATACTTTATAGTTGATATGTAGTATTTATTACGATTTTTCTATTTACATTTAATAATTAAGGTTAGAAGAATCTAAATTTTAAACTAAAAAATGTAGATGATAATAGTAGAGTTAGTTTAATGATATTAATTAAAAAAGAGTAAAATCTTTGTTATAATACAAAGTTTTATAAATAAATAAAAAAACTAAAACTAATTTTAACTATTTTTTTATAAAAAGCACCAAAGGAAGAAGTTAACTAGCTCTGATTAGCTTACTTAACGCTCATTGCTAAAATAAGATGGAGTGCATAAATGCACACAATTTATCTCTAATACTACTTTCGTTTCAGCAAAACGTATAAAATTGCGGGACGAACAGCTCACAACAACGTTCTCCTGAAAGCTCAAAGTGAACAATATGTAACTGGATCTACGTTTATTTCTTATGCCATCAAACTATTGTATGCTCCAAAGGGTGCGGTCACAGGGGAAAACAAGCATTATGGCACTATTTCTACACCTAGCAACATGTAACAAGAAGAAAACATCCTAGAGGTACAGATACCAATGAGACATGAATACTGACGCCAAATTGATGAAGCCATCCTTCGACTTCATCTGCTCAGCCTCTACATCCCAAGAAATTCTCCACTAAAAGAATACTGACAGATCATATTCAAAATTTCCTAATGCATACCAAACATATACAAAGCATTTATTATGATTGGTCTATTTCTTAAAAAGTCAAAGCAAACTTTTATTTAAGCGAATGTGTTAAGAGAATATCCACAAACTTATTAATTATTAACATTTCTCTTTCCTACAAATATTTGTGCATATTATTTATGATATTGTTCAGTTCATATATAAATACACTACCTAGTGAAAAACAGCTTGATTGTTGGTGCATAAGTAAAGATTGAAATACGGTGCAAATAACAAAACTAACACCTCACTATTTATGGCAAGTCTTTAAAAGTATAATTTGCCAGAGAAAATTTATTATTTAAGAGAAACCTAAACTTTGCACATAAAATTGTCCTAGTCCTAGGCCTTTGATGGTAAAGGGATGAAAGACGAGAAGAATCATACGCGCACGCCGTACAGGAAAATTAGATATGAGATGTGGGAATGTATTCCAAACTCCAAGCATATTTACAACAGCACAAGAAGCCTGACTAATTCCACAAATCTTTATTTAGAGCATTATTTTACTTAATGAACCCTACAAAGCTAATGAATACAGCCAAGGAGGATAACAATGCTCATATGTCAAAAGCATGGGCTAGAACGAATCTTTTCTCCACCAGTTCACTACAGGGGAAAGATTGTTTGATAGCACTTAATCTGGAGAAATAGTAACTAATTTTTCAAAATCTTTCCAAAAAAATTACAAAAATAATTATTTATTGAAAATTAGTTGATACAATAAATCTAATCAAAGATAATGTTATCTGAACAATATGCAAATCTAGATGCAAATGTGAAATGTACCATTGACACAAAATGCACAAGGATTGGGCCATTCATTTTCATTCCTTGGCTAACATAGCATCGCATCGATGGATGTGTTCAATGTCGTCATCCTCAGACACGAGAAAGGCATCTATGAACAGCCAACTCGCTGTAAAGATTGACTTCAAGCTTTGGGACTTGCAGAAAATAGAAAAAACAATTTGACAAAGTAAAAAGATAAATTTGAAAAATGGAGATATTTTAGCGGTAAGATTCTGAGATGAACCCTAATTCACTGCTTTCGCAAAGTAAATTAACGACACACCACCGACCTACAGAGCGTAATGCTCCGACTTGAAAGAGAGGGATGATTATCAAACATATTATTGACAAATATAATTAAAAATATCAGAAGAACAAAAATAACTAAGAAAAAGAAGAAACTATAAATGTGGTCATCTGGATTTCGAATTGGAGAAACGAGAAATCGAGATTCTTCCACTGCGATGGAAGCATTTTTTTACTCAATCACAGACACATGCACACACACATATATATAGCAGAAGCAGAGTGCGATCGTAAACCCTAGAAGGGAGTCGAAATTGCCGTTACTCACTTTTCAAATATAATATTAAAAATATGTTTAACTTTTTAATATACCGTTACTGTCATTTCTTTCTTGTTTATAATAATAAATGTGTAAAATATTTAAAAACTAAGAGACGAAGACAAAATTTAAAAAAAAGGGAATTAATAGTTTTGAATTAACAAGCAGATAGATTGATAAAACATTATTTTAAAAGTAAGCAAATAAAAATTAAAAACAAAAAGAATAGCATTCATACTCAAAAATTTATTTTGTCAATATTATTAGCATGCATAAATTCAACAAATTTTATGCATATTGAAATCATAACTAAGATCATCTAAAAACGTCAAAACACCAACATGAGAATGCATCATACTCATCACATGCTACATATTACGGTTTCATAGCTATAAGTTCAATTTAAAGAAACGTACTCAAGTTCAAAATTTACGACACTTGACTAAGTCCAGACACAAAAACAAAATTAATCTTATCCTCAAGAGGTTTTGAGCTGGATAAATTAATATTCTATCTATTTTATTCAAATTGTTTCCTTTAAATAAAATGAACATACAAAAATACGTATGTGTTTTATACATAATAAAATTTGAACAATAAAAGTAACCAAAGGTTTTGAGTTGGATAAATTAATATTCTCAAATTTTCATTATATTCTAATACAAAATTGAACTGTTCAATTGTTCATACACTCCTTGTAAGATTCATGAAGAAGAAAATGGTGCCTTTGAAGCTTGTATGTATGTACAAAAGATTGCAGCTGACGAGTAGTAGATTCTAGAAGTCTGAATGATATACACATACTAGACTTGAGTGTGTTATGGGGGTGCGGCAAAGAGGGCACTCTGGCTTTTCGTTGCACCATTCCGTGATACAGTTCCTACATGGATCATAACAAACTGAAAGATGAGAAACAGAGAAAGAAGCAGGGCACGGGAAAAGCATTAAGAATGCTGAAGACTATACCAGCAGAATACATGGCCACAGGAAGTAGCAGTTGGGTGTTGACGATTACTCAGGCAAAGTGTGCATTTACTAACCCCACTAGTTCCAGGATACTGCAAATAGAAAAAAAAGGATTCATCCAAATAAGCATGATACGCTAGAGATGACATGATGGAACTACCTAATTCCCTTTAGGCTTTTAATTTAATTTTGCCATAGTAAATCAACTATTTCTCAATAGACAATAGGCTTCCTTGGCTTTTTCACACGTAGTGTAATTTTACGTGGTCTTTATGAATCTAGTGTAACTTTCAAATTCTAAACCAGAACCGATCAACACAACTGTGTAAGTTTAAAGTATATGTTTATCCCTCTGCAGATCCAGAAATTTTCTAAGCAACATATGACACATTATCTCGCCTTTAACCCTCAAAGCAACAAGCATGCACTAAAATATCATAATTTAAAATGGGGAAAAGAGGGATAATCTGATGAGAGAATTGAACCTCAGAAGATGAAGAATCAGAGACCCAACTTCCTTTGTCGATATCTGGAGTTGCCAGAGTACCCTCTTCATTCAAAACAGGCAAACCATGTCCTATGATATGATAAAAACTAACTTAAAAGGCAGAAAAAGTCCAAGGCACATGTGTAGACATAAAAATTAAGAAAATGAAAAAAAAAAACTGAATAAATAATAAGCTGAAATGATTAATTGGGAAAATTCAATAACCTGCTGAGCTGTAGTGGGTTGCCAAGGATGTCTGATGAACTGAACCAGCAATTGAAGTAAAATTTCTTCGACGCAGCCCTTCAGCAGCTATTATACAAAGTTGAATCAACAGAAATACCCCTAGTATTTGGTATCTGCAGAGAGGCAAATTATAGATAACACAAACCCTAAATCTAAAACCTCGAGAGAAGAAACATGGTTTACTATAAAATGACTGATAAGAAATGATATAGTTACATTGGGGGAATTAAACAACGGAAATTTCCAACTATAAAGGCCACATTTATGTTTTCATGAGAAAGTAAATAGATTGAACACCAACACAAACTGTCATTGGCACGACAGACCTTTCACAAAGCAATTTCAATGGGTCACCTACCCAAAGAGGTTTTATTTTAGTACATTAAAGCAAGAACAAAATAGAAATTGAAATTAAATAAAAAGAAAACATAACAGTAGCCAGTAGGAATAGATAAGCCCTATGATCACACTTTGTCATATCAAACTAAATCAACAGGAAAATTTCTCCAATTGACCACACATTTTTCAAATTTAAATATTTCAAAAGACTTTACCTGGGTCTTTGATTAGATGCTTTACCAATGAACACATACCGAATGCCTGCAGCACGTTTGGATATATGATAATAGAGGCCTGCAGAAAGGAATGATGGCAAGATTTAGAAACTTTGCTTTACACATTTAATTTTAACAACTACCATGAGCCCATCAAGTAAAGAATCACCTTCAAAATAGAAAAACATGAGGTTAGCACGAAGAACCAACTGCAACAACTCACGAACAAAAGGAAGCATCTGATGGCAGAGCATAAAAACAAGATTCAACAAATAAAAAAGGCATTTAACTAAGCCAATTAAATGTAGTCAGATTGTTAACAAAAACAGCTACACAAAAGCAGTCCCATAGAAACGGTGGCCAATTATATTGTGACTAGTAAATTCCCTAATAATTTAAAAGAACAGCCACCAGTATACAGTTGTAATACATGACTTCAAGATCCATGTTGAATGAGCAAAATACATGCACGATTAATATACCGTAGGCCATCTCCGAACCAAATGCAACCAAAATCCACTCAGTTTCCTCTTCAACCTTGTCAAAGTTGTAACAGATTGTCCTGGCGTGGATGAAGGAGGAAGTTCACTGGCACCAGAAATCTGAGAACTACCAGTCCTGCGTACACTTTCAGCATAACCCTCAGCAGAGTCTGAATCAGCAAGGACAATGCCTCGTGAAGCAATTCTAGAACTGTGACATCAACAAACAATCAAATCATCATAAATTCAACAGACATACAGCTCAACCACATTGATAAATTGGAAGACCATGAAGAACCAAGAAAATTAAAAACCAACCTAATCCGTTCGGCAATATATGGAATAGCCGTCTGGTATACAATGAAAAGAGCACGCCTTGCAGGGGTAGGAGGAAGTCCATAAGGTCCTGCAACCTAATAAACCAATCAACAACTATCAGATGCGATGATGCCAACACAGAGGGGAATTTAATTTGGGACAAAACTTAGGTACAATACCATAGGTGCTTTTGGTGTTGTTTTCCAATTAAGATTGAAGTTTCACTTTGATAATCCAGGAAATAAAGGTGGGCACATATTATCATGGTAAAACATTAATCTTAATTGAAAAACAACACCTAAAATACTTATAATACTGCACCTAAGTTTTGTAATTTAATTTATTAAATCAGGTACAATAAATCCAGCAAAACATAACGAAAACCTCTAATTCAAGAAAAAAACAGAGAAAAAAGTAAAATGTAAACTTGAAAGGCATTATTTACTTCACAGTGGAATGAAGGAAAACCTGAGTGATGTCGCAGTATTCCTCTCCAAGGGTTTGTTGTCCCGAACCAGTTGTGAGCAAATAGTAAAGCATTTGCCCTAAAAGTTTCGTCTGCAAAGGAATCAACGCGAAAGCACAGTTAGTTAGTTAGTTACTCACTCACTTCACGTTCAAAGTTGAAACATAGATCTTCCGACAGAGAGATTACCTCGTTTTGATAAGCCACCGCGACTCTGGTACCTGAACGGTAAATTTAAATTCATTTGTATTATTAAGAACTGCATTAAACGAAAAAAGAAACAAAAAAATAAGCGTTGATGAGAGATAGAGAGAGACCAAAGAGGTGACGGAAAGCGTCACGACACGCTTCGTAAACGAAAGAGGCGTATTGGTCATCCTTTTCGGCAGCTCGCATCATTTCCGGCTGAGCCGCCAGAGGGAAGCGGCGTGGCTCGGTGGTGGTGCTGGGACCTGCTTCCGCAGCGTCGCCGGAATCTGAGCCATGCCTTCCAAGGTGACCCCACCCCATACCCTTTCTGTTCTAACGCTGTTTTAACAACACTGTAAAGTGTTATCTATCTACCCCCTCTTGTGTGTTTTCTTAAGCCTTGCCAAACGCAACGGGACGGAAAAAAAAAAAAAAACACGCACACACACAAAATAATTGCAAGACGCAGTTGCCGGGGATCGAACCCGGGTCACCCGCGTGACAGGCGGGAATACTCACCACTATACTACAACGACTAGGTGCAAGTAATTTGCAGAATTTAAAACTAATTTATGTAAAATAAATTTACAAATATCATCGCTAAATATGATATATGGAAATAAAACTTTAGGGTTTTTTAAAAAATGTTTAAGGAGTTCGAAATTTGTATTATAATAGAATTTTATCCTTTACCGCATAGTTCTTTTCTAAATGTTAATACGATTGCTTAATCTTAAAATAATAGCTAAAAACATTTTTATTTTGGACTTCTATTTTTGTTCTTAAGTGATAATGAAAATAACTAATCGAAAAACCTATCATGTCCACTTAAGCGCAGGTCGTTATTAGAAAGAAGAATTTCGCTTTTTGTATACGTTTTTTTTCCAACGTGTTATTATTTGATTACATATGTAGTGGTAGAGTATAATTTTTTTATTTTAAAATAAAAAATGTTAGTAAAACAGTTTTTGACATTTTTCTTAACTCAGTTTTATTATTCCTAATTTAATATTTATTCCTCATATTTTTATATTTTTAACTAATAACTAATAATACAATTAAAAAAAACGTGTGTTTTACACTCCTGTTTCGAAATTTATCCTTGTCTATCAACATTTCCGCATAGCCATTGATTTTTCTGTAGGATAACACCAAATGGGGTCAACTTGAGCTAAATAAAACAATGTTTCAATCATATATACAACTTATAATTTTTATACGTTTATATAATATTTTCGCTTTTTTTAATGTTAGTTTTTCTTTTTATCTCTATCTTGTTATCGCATGGTATTATTTCTAGCATCTTTTCATTATTTTTTCAGTTCACTAAATGTGAACCATTTTGCTTGAGATGATAATTTTTTTTTCACACGAAACCAATTATTGGATTCAAACAGTGTATTTGAGAGATGAGTTTTAGATAATATGAAAAGGGAAGACATATATTTAAATTTTCAATTTAAAAAGTTATATACTATTCATGAAGGTAAATAAAATATTAACGTATTAAGTTTATATACTATAAATTATAAGTTTAAAAATGATGAATTAAAAATAAAAATATTTATTTTTAAGGGTTGGATATTTGAAAAAATCCACCTAAGGAATAAATATTGCTTTTAGCCTTTATAAATAAATTAATTTTATTAATTGTTGGGAAGTAATGAAAAAGGTCATATTTAAGACTAGAGACAATAGTATACTTATTTTGGTATTTGTAAATGGGGTTTCATCATGCGGAGAATTTTATGACTCTGGACTTTGATCCATTGGACTTGCAGGGCCTCTTGTCTGGCCTTCTTAATGGTATAACGGGCTTAAACGTTGTTGGGCTGAAGCTTCAATGCTCTAGCTTTTGCAAAATGAACAAAATGAAAAACATCTACACAAATTTGACTAATGAACTAAAGCACTCGCATCGTAAAATTTTTAAATTTTGTTATGAGTAAATGTTTTATATAATAATGTTTTCCTGTTCTTCTATAAGTTATTGTTTTATTAAAGGCCAATCATCATCGGGACCCAACAGTTTGTAAAATGTATATGATTAAATTACACCCTACACCTTTCTACTTTGCTATATGTGCAAATTATATTTCAATATTTGACATGCGTAAAAAATTTCTTAATTTTAATTTTAATATTCAGAACCCAAAAGCGCCTTCAATCATGTGATGTCATTGAAACTTATCTTAACTCTTTGAACATTATAATTAAGTGCAAAAATATCACAGCTGAATAAAATTCGATGTTCGTTCATACTAAGATTTAATATACACACGATTCTATATTAAAAGTACAACCTATAATTTTTTATGATTATTATGATTAATTTTTTTATGTAGTTTATTTATTCATTAATTTTTAAAACATTTTGTTTTTATTTTTTTTAATCTTTATATACTTAAATAACATAATTTTAACTATATAATATTTTTTCTATTTCATCATTCATTTAAATAGACCCTAAAGATATTACGAACTTGTGATTTCTAAAATACAATGTAAAGGCCCACTTAAACAATTGTGTTTATTTATTAATTTTCGAATTTTGTAGAAAGTGCCCGACCTAACCTATACGGCTATACTTTATAATTTCAGCTATTGATTATTAATTTTGTATTTAAAGTTAAAAATGCTGTGTTTGAATTTTTTGCAATGTTTAAATGAAAATAAACGCGTTGAGATTAAATGAAAAATAATATGACAGAATGAAATAAAGTAAAAAGTAATAATATTAATATTTTACGAAAAATTAAAAAAATCATTGCATTATTTGAAAAGTGAGTATTAATAAAATAACAAATCAACTCTCATTTTGTCAAATTAGGGAAAGAAAAATACAGCACTCCTCTTTTTCTTTTTCGTTTTCTTTTTCCTCTCCTGATTAGCTAAATGAAAATTCGAATTCATGTAATGTGTGGATTTAGTCTTACATTAATGTCTTATGAGACAATCAAACTAAACAAAGATCTAAACACAATCATGTATGGAATGGTACCAAACATCTTTAACCTTTTGAATCAACCCAAGTTGTACCTAGACATCTTGTTTCTTGGCACGCGCCTGCTTAGTTTATCTCCCATTTCAAAGCTCAAACCAACACTCACGTCAAAAGCCACACACAATTGACCAGCGATCATGTAATTTGAAATCATGTGTCACCATTTTATTTTGAACCCTGTTAACTCAATGGCAATAGTAACCATGAGATATGAACTTCACATGTGAATACAGTTTAGTTTCAATGTACTTGTTCAAATCTAGTTAAAGGAATTGCTCTTTCACATGGCCCTTAAATTAGACTTTATTCAGGGATTCTCAACTTTTTTTAAGGAAAGCAATAAATATTGTAATTATTTTATATTTTTTTAGTAGAAATTAATAGTATTAGATGCTGAAATTGAGTTTAAAGATTGAGGTTAATATTTAAAGGAAAAAATAAAGCCAATGGCAATAATACACGTGTGAATCACAGCACGAGTTAGGTGACAAAAGAAACAAAATATCCTTTGGTTGGAATTTGATTGCCTAACCAGGCAAAATCAATGTGACCAATATCGCATGGTAAACGAAGAAAACAACCAATAAGAGAACTACAACAGGTAATGTTGTACTTGAAAAAGCAGAGCAATGTGACAACAGAACAAACAAGAAATATGTGCTACTTATCTTATTACTGACAAAAGTGGCAGTCACTCAAACTCCTACAATCATTTAACTCTGAAAAAAAACAAAGTGGAATATTAATATGAACGAAACATTGCCAACATGAGCTTTATTCTCATTAGTTATAAGAGTGTGATTATTGTACGAGGCTCAATAATTCTCTTAACCCAATACTCTCAACAATTCTATGTCACCCAAATTAAATGCCATTTGTTATGTGACAAATCAACCACTTTACAATTTGACACCAATAACATGTTGAACGGTTAATGGGGGGAAAAAAATAAAGTGTTCGAGTAAAGATTGAATTTATCTTTAATGCCTTTGACAAGTGACAAGCTTCTAAATTGACTGAATTCATTTATTGCATTGGTAGAAATGATAAGTGGATAAGAATACATGAGAAAAGGTCGTAGCAATTATATGCTCTTGTCTATTGGATTTGGACTGTGAAATATACACAATTGATGTTATTGGTTATTAGATTGAGAAGCTATTTGACTCCGACCAATATGGTTTTCAAAAGAGATGCTTGTATGATTTCCCTTAAGAACTAATAGATGAGACAAGTTTGCGTTCATTTGAGCATATATGTGGAAACGTGTCAAAACAGGAAGAATCAAGACAAGCAGCCACTACCATTATCTTATGGTACACTCTTTGATTGAACCAAAGACTTGAAAGAAAGAATGATCACGCGTTTGAAAATTACAAAACCCCCACTATCAACACCCCAATTCTAAATAAATTAAAATACACAGTATCATCATATAATAATGAGTTCTGAAACATGGATTCTCCCATCACATACACAAAATTTAATATAAAACACAGCAAAAGTAAGTCATATAAAAATTTATATGAATACAATATTAATAAACAGTATAACATGTAATACGAATATTGAAGAATGGTACATGTCAAAACCGTGTTTAGTATTCTCATGATTGAAAACCAAAGGCTTTCAAAGTATTATCTTGATAAACCCCCTTTTCTTTAGGGACGGTGCCCAATGTCTCATCTATCGAACTTAGGTTTAAGCTTGTTGCAATCAAACTTTCAATTGGTCACAAACATCAACACAACTAAGATACTTCTTGGTGCAAATTTCAACTGCTAGATACCCTTGCGGCTGTTTCAACCATAGTCACATCAAACATTTTATTTTTGCGTGCGTATCTTAACGAACCTAAACGATATCCTATAAGATCTATAATAATAGTCACCCTTAACTAATTTTGTTCAAAATTGCAAAGCCCCCAGATGCGACACAAAACTTTCATATGCATTCTAACAACATTTCTGTCCAAAACAAAAAATTTATTTTTGTCATACCATCACCTAGTACTCACAAATAATCTTTATGGCCTCATGATCAATCTTTGAATTATGTCATCTGAATATCTACACTTACTCATATATATATTTTTATTAAACAATCGAACAACGCATTAGTTTCTAATAAATGTGGAAGGGTGTGCTATGGAAAAATAAAAAGATTATGGACATTATAATAATATTGGTTTACCCACCGGCCTCTTATCATATCTAAGAATTTTACCAAAAAGTAGTGGCAATGTGAAGAAGGAAAATGGCTATTTTGCACCCACCTCAACTGCTATTGTCTTTCTGACACAAATGTGTCTTTAAAAAAATTGGTGAAATTTGTGGTACATGTCAAGAATTTCTAGTTGAAAT